AAAAAAAAGAAGAGCAGGGCCTTTTCCTTCATTGCCCCACTGAGAGCTAGATGGGTCATCAGCAGCTCCAATGAGGCCACCCGTGAAAATTCAGCCAGGGTTCTTGTTCTTGCTGCATGTGTTCAAACTGGCCATGATCTGGATATATCACCTCAAAATGTGCCATCAGTGTTTTTCAGTGTTTTTGTCGGTATATGAAGAACATAGGCTTCCTGAAGTTGGACTAAGTGATCTTTTGTGAATGAATTGTCCAAGATACTCACCCAGTGAAAGAAATCATGCTGGCTATTTGTATTTTAAAAGAAGAAAAAAATTCCAGAAAAAAAAGTACCACAGGGCAAGAAGGAGCAAGTGTGCCAGAGCTTGGCTGTGGCGACTGCCTAGTACCACCTGGGGGCCAGGGCAGGCCTCACTGCAAAGCTGTACTAGAGCAAAGACAAAGGTGTAGAAGGATTTAGCCGTGCAGATAGCTGGGGAGGAGTGTAGAAGGAAGACCTGTGCAAGTCCTTAGGGCTGGGCAGTGTCTGGCATACTGAACATCAGGATGAAATACACAAAGTCTGTACTTTGGGGAGGGCAGAAGGTAAGGGTTAATCTAATGACCCCTACTGTGTTTAGGTACTGAAGAAGACCTGGAATTCTATGTTAGGAAATGTGGCGACATTCTTGGCGTAACCAGTAAACTACCAAAGGACCAACAAGATGCCAAACATATCCTTGAGCACATCTTCTTCCAAGTGGTGGAGTTCAAGAAGTTGAAACAGGAATGAAGCCCAGAAGGCCCACTGAAGTAGGAGCCGCTTCAGTGGTGGTATAAACTATGTTTCTTGTGTGTTATGTATGGCATTCATTTAGTCTGCAAATATTAATGTCTACCAGGTCAACAAAATAGACAATAATCCTTTCACAAATGGAACTTATATTCTAGCTGGAAGACAGTAAACGGTAGACATAAGCAAACCCTTAGCATGCTAGATGATGCTAAGTGTTGTGGTATAAAAGAAGAGCAGGACCTTGGGAACCAGCAGTTAGTGTAATGGCTATGTCGCTGGACTCCCACGTAGTCGACCGCGGTTCGCGTCCTGGACCCGGTGGCTAAAAACTCACGTTGGGCGCATGTGCGTGCGTGCCCAAGATCCCGAGAGGAGAATGGAGGAGAAGGGATTGCGGTGTGACCATCCCCCCTGGGGGGTGATTTCTCACTTTCTGTCTCTCTGTCTCTCTCTGTCTGTCTGGCGAGCCCTATAGCAAAAAAACTCTCAAAAAAAAAAAAAAAAAAGAGTAAAAAAAAGAAGAGCAGGGCCTTTTCCTTCATTGCCCCACTGAGAGCTAGATGGGTCATCAGCAGCTCCAATGAGGCCACCCGTGAAAATTCAGCCAGGGTTCTTGTTCTTGCTGCATGTGTTCAAACTGGCCATGATCTGGATATATCACCTCAAAATGTGCCATCAGTGTTTTTCAGTGTTTTTGTCGGTATATGAAGAACATAGGCTTCCTGAAGTTGGACTAAGTGATCTTTTGTGAATGAATTGTCCAAGATACTCACCCAGTGAAAGAAATCATGCTGGCTATTTGTATTTTAAAAGAAGAAAAAAATTCCAGAAAAAAAAGTACCACAGGGCAAGAAGGAGCAAGTGTGCCAGAGCTTGGCTGTGGCGACTGCCTAGTACCACCTGGGGGCCAGGGCAGGCCTCACTGCAAAGCTGTACTAGAGCAAAGACAAAGGTGTAGAAGGATTTAGCCGTGCAGATAGCTGGGGAGGAGTGTAGAAGGAAGACCTGTGCAAGTCCTTAGGGCTGGGCAGTGTCTGGCATACTGAACATCAGGAGTGCCAGTTTGGCTAGGGAGAGGGAGCATGCACTACTCAAAAGCTCCTGAATGTGAGGTCAGGATCTTGCGTTAGAAATCATCTTTTTCTGGACTGAGGGCCAAGAATTTGAAATTATGCTTGGCTTTTCTTTTTCTTTCTATCCCTTGATAGGGTTTCTAAAACAGAATGCCTAACCATTGTTAGTAAATGGGTATTCATATTTTGCTACTCACCTATTATGGTGGGCAAGAGTGTTAAAAGCCCTGTTGGGGACCAGCAGTTGGCAAAATGGCTATGTCTCTGGATTCCCATGTAGTCACCTGTGGTTCAAGTCCCAGACCCAGTGGCTTAACCTTACACTGGGCACATGCGCATGCATGCCCAGGATCCCAAGAGGAGAATGGAGAAGGGATTGCGGCATGGCCACCCCCCTGGGGGATGATTTCTCGCTTTCTGTCTGTCTTTCTGGCGAGCACATGTACCCTATTTTGTCCCCTCTCAAAAAAAAAAGTCCTTGTTGAAGGAGGAGGGGGGTGGACAAAGCTCTATCCTAGTAGTGAAAACTTGATGGATCTTTGGGCTGGATTCAGCTTTAAAGCCAGAGATTACCTATTGCTCCATCCTAATTATGTTTCAGGAGCCAACAGGTGGTGTGATGATTAAGGTGCAGGATTCCTACATGGCCGACCGTGGTTCAAGTCCCAGAAAAATCACACCAAGCATGTTTGTGCACATGTCTAAAATCCCAAGAGGAGAATGGAGAAGGGATTGTGGTGTGACCATCCCTGCTGGGGGGTGATTTCTTCCTTTCCCTCTTTCTCTGTTTTTCTCTGTCTTTCTCCGCCTCTCTTCAGTGAGTGCATGCACTCTATAGCAAAAACATTAATTAAAAAAAAAAAGAAAGTGATTCATAATCTCTAATTAAAGTGTAGAACACTAAAGATTTCATATTTCAAGCTTTGTCCTAAAATACTAAGTGTGTATCTTCTTCTTTCCTCTAGGAACATGATGTTGATACAAGTGAACCAGCATTCCAGAACAATTTCTGAGGATTCTACCTCTTGACGCATTTTCTGCCTCTTGATTTTCTCTTTGTGAACTACTTTTGACTTGTTCCTCAACTTACCACAATTGTCTGTACACTTATTCCTTTACAAGCTGTTCTATTAATCTCTGTATTATCCAGATAGGCCTAAGATTTATAACTTACAGAATCCTTATGTAAAATACATTCCATTTTTAAAAATTAAATATACGATTGAATCTGTACTTTTATAATTTATAAAGAAGTCTTTCATTGATTTTTCTCCCCCCAACTCCAGTTCTGGATTTGATTCTCTTTTATCAAAGGCATAAATAACTCAGGCTTGTGAATATTATACATCTTTTTTGAAATAGTTCAGAAGGATACAAAACAGGGAGCAGCAGGTGGTGTAATGCTTACATGGCTGGACTCCCATGTACTTTACCGCGGTTCAAGTCTCAGAGGGGGTGGCTTAAAACTCATACTGGGGGAACCAGCAGTTAGCGTAATGGCTATGTCACTGGACTCCCATGTAGTTGACTGCGGTTCGTGTCCCGGACCCGGTGGCTTAAAACTCACGCCACGCGCGTGTGCGTGCTTGCCCAAGATCCGGGGAGGAGAGTGGAGGAGAAGGGATTGCGGCGTGACCATCCCCCCGGGGGGTGATTTCTCGCTTTCTGTCTCTCTGTCTCTCTCTGTCTGTGTGGCGAGCGCACACGCCCTATAGCGAAAACATCTCAAAAAAACAAACAAACAAACAAAAAACTCATACTGGGCACATGTGCGTACATGCCCAAAATTCTAAGAGGAGAATGGATTGCAGCATGACCATTCCCCCTAGGGGGGTAATTTCTTGTTTTCTGTCTCTCTGGCAAGTGCACCGACCTATATAGGAAAAATCTCTCTTAAAAAAAAAAAGGATACAAATAGATTTAACTCAGTCTGTTTGCTCTGCTGTACCTAAGGAAAAAGAAAATAAAGCACTCCTTGTCTCCCAGTTGCCCACAGGACACAACGGTTTGGAGGCTCTAGTCTCCACTCACTTTTCTCCCTCCTCTGAACTTCTGAAGCATTTAATTCTATCATCATTTTGGCTCACAGCGCAGGGCAAAATTTGATCATCTGTCCCAGGGAGGCTAGATGGTGTCGTCACGACACACTGAAAGAGACCATGCTTTCCTAAGTGCTGTGTGGAAATGCATAGCAGTGTACCGGAGTATTCTGGGAGCCAGCTTTGGGGAACCCTGGAGGCCAGGTGGAAGACTGCAGGGAAGTTTAGCTGGCGGCACTCCAAACCCCGCGCGCCGCGCCCCTAGTGACGTCAACCGCGCGACTCCCGCGATGCTCCGCGCGGCGCGCAAGTCAGAGGACCGGATCCGGATTAGGAGGGCTTAGTCCAGCAGCTCAGTAGTCTGTCTGGAACCTTACTCCGTTTACACAGGAGGCGCCTTGACTTAGGCCATGTCACTTGGCCCGGTCTCCCACGGGCGGGGTGGACTCCAAGGCCTGACTTCCCTCTCCACCTTCCAGAGGAGGGTGAGAATGCTGAGTGTCCCCGCAAGTTGGTTTCCAGGGGACTGGATGAAGCGTTGACGTCCACCCTCGTGGCTCTGAATTGTATCCTAGCTCCTGTCGAGGGAAAATAACCAACGCTGTAAAAATAATAATTAATGAGGTTTATTTCTAAGCAGAATGAGTGACCTGGGCAGGTTTATTTCTAAGCAGAATGAGTGACCCGGACGGGAGAGGAGGCAAAACGTGCCTTTCTCTCAAGGTGATCAGATACAGTTTCCTTTTATTTGATTTTGAGAGCAAGAGACAGTTTGGAATTTAGTGAAAAGTTTTTCCATTGGTCTGGCCCAAAAAGGTGGGATATGTGGGAGGGGTTCTAGGTGAGTTTTACAGTTTTTAGGGTGGTGATTGAAAAAGGAAAGTTGCAGAGATCAGAATGGAATGTACTTAGCCATAAAGAGGCTTAATATACATTACAATGAAACTCCAATACTATGCCAATGGCAGGATATAGGAAGAATCCTGTTACTATTGAGTCAAAATGTCTGTCAAGATTTGTGGGTATGACTTCCCCTAGGCCTTCTGGAAGTGACCTTAGAAGAATAGGAAAAAGCATTCTTTGTGTAATTGCCTTACTGAAACTGCAAGTGGCTGTTACAAAAGTAGGAACTAAGTGTTGGCCAAAGCTGATTCCCCAGAAGGTCGAAGATAAAGGTCAGGGGTGTGTGTCTGGGCATGGTTTACATATAAAGTAGCCCAATGGCCCAACACCCTTCTGGGGTCTCATCTCTCTCATGGAGAACAGCAGGGAATTTGGATTAGATGGTTTCTAAGAAACCAGGTTCTCTCACTTTATAATTGTATACATGAGGACACAGCTGGGGCTGGCTTGAGCACAGATAACAGCAGGCAGGGTTGATGGCCCTGTCGTTTGGCTAGTGGCCCCTCACTTCTAGTGAATGAGGAGGGACCCCTAGTCATGCAAATGGAATCTAGCCATCACCCTCAAAACTTCCTTGTGTCCTCTTATAATCTCTTTTCCACAATCACATCACTTTGGATTGGTTACTGTCACTATAAGGTTGATTTGCAATTTCTAGGAGTTTTTTGTTTGCTTTTTACTAGCCAGAGAACACTTGCATTTGTCATAAAGAGGGAGTAAACATCCCTTCAATGGGACATGGTCATGCAGCAATCCCTTCCCCACTTTTCCATCCTCTCTGGATTTTAGACACATGAACACGCACCCTGCATGTTTTCCAAGCTACCAAGGCTGGGATTCCCACTGCCATGTGGAATCCAGCCCCCTTAACTACTAAGCAACAGGATGACCCTCTAGAGTTTTAAGTAAGTGGAATTGTACAGTATGTTCTCTTTGGCTTCTTTCAGTGTAATTATTTTGAAATTCATCTAAATTCTATCAGTAATTTTCTCTTTTTGTTGAGTAGTATTCCTATATCTATGGATATATTTGTTTTATATCTGTAATTTATCCAGTCACCTGATGATGGACATTTGAATTGTTTCCAGTTTGGGGCTATTTCAAATAAAAGTATGTAAGAGCCTTTGTGTGGTCATATGTGCTCGTTTTTCTTGGAGTGACTGGGTCATATAGGAGGTGTATGTTGAAGTTTTTAAGAAACTGCAAACTATTTGGAAAGATAGATATGTTTATTAGGTTGTTGGAAAAGTCATGATGCAATCTTGGATAGAAAAATATGTTAATGACCTTTCCAATGACCCAATGTTTTATATATACCTCTATTAGCAGTATCTGAGAATTTTTATTTATTTATTTTTAGGTTTTTGCCCTAGGGCATGTGCACTCCCCAGAGAGAGACATGATAGGAAAAGTAAGAAATCAGCCCCAAGGGCGATGGCCACATCATAATCTTTTTCTCCTCCATACTCCTCTTGGGATCTTGGACATGCACGTACACATGCAGTGTGATTTTCAAGCCACCAGGTCTGGGACTTGAACTACAATCAGCCATGTGAATCCAGCTGCCTTAACCACCAGGCCACCTGGTAGCCCATGTATTTAAGAATTCTAATTACTCCCTATCTTTACCAACATGTGGTATGCTTCATCTTCTTAATTATAGCCATTCTAAATCTCTGTGTGTATGTTTTGTTGTCTGTTTACTATAGGGCAGGTGCGCTCACTGGAGTAGACAGAGAAAAAGAGAGATCACACCCTAGTGGGGTTGGCCATACCACAATCCTATCTCCTCCATTCTTCTCTTGAGATTTTGGGCATCCACACACGTGTACCAGGTGTAGTTTTCAAGCCACTGGGTCTGGGACTTAAACCTCAAAGTTGGTCATGTGAGATCCAATGCCTTAACATCCATGCCACCTGCTGGACTTCTCATTGTGATTTTAATTTAGGTTTCCCTAATGACAGCATTGAGCATCTTTTCATGTGCTTCTGCTGCTGGGAGGGAGAGAGAGATTTTATTACCAGAGAGCATATGTGCTCACCAGCAAGAGGGAGGGAGAAAGCACCCCCAACGGGGTGCAGTCACACCACAATCCCTTTTCCTCCATCTCTGTCTTTTGTCAGGATTTGGAGCAGACATGCACCGGCATGTTTTCCAGGTCACTAGGGTTGGGATTCAAACCTCAATTGGACTTCTGGGTTCTGTCTCCCTTAACTTCTAGGCTGTAGGGCCATACCACCACTGGATATATATTGGGTTGTCAAAAGTCATGACATTTTTTTTTCTATGCAAAAATGCATCGTAACTTTTCTGACAACCAGTATTTTTAAAAATTATTTTATTTAACTATTTTTTTTTTAAATTTGACCAGAGAGGGGGAGAGAGAGAAGTCAAGCTGCCGCCAGGAAGTCTGAGACTTGAACCATGGTCGGCCACATGGAAGTCCAGCATCCTTAACCACCGGCCACCTGCTGTCCTCCCCCCCAACCCACTATTTTGAAGGGAGAGTTTGAGAGTGGAGCCAATAGAATCTCAGATGGAGCAGATACAAAATAAGAGTCGAGAATGAACTTTGCCAATCCCTTAATACTTCCCGATCTTTCTCCTTCCTGTCATACATGGGCTACCATGCACATCCTTAAATCCCCCAGCTCTGAAGAGCCTGGGTGCCCCCATTGAGTGGGCACTCCATAGCCCCTGTGGTTTATCTTTACCTTTGAGAACTAATTTTCTGTTTGTTCATTGTCTCTCTTACCAGCTGCTGAGCTGGCTACAGCCCAGCCTCAGTCTTTTGTTTTTGCTACGGGGGCACTCGCAGTGGAGAGAGAGAGATCACCCCCAGGAGAGATGGCCACGCAGCTATTCCTCCATTCTCAGGATTCGGGGCATGCAGGCGTAAGCACCAGGCATGTTTTGACTCGAAGCACACAGTCAGCCATGAGGGATCCAGCATCTTAACCACCATACCACCTGCTGGCCTCCAGCCTCAGTCTTTTCAGCATAGTCTCACAAATAGTACTCTTGGAATTTACATTTCAAATTCTGGGTGCCTTGCTTCAAACTACCAGCCATTAGCTGTGTGATCAGGCAACTCACTGTGGATCAGTTTCCTTAACTTTAAAATGTTACCCACCTCACCTAGTAATAGGCAGTAAATGTAAAGCTCTGGTGGTGGTGGGGCGGGGGAGGGCAGGTGGCATGGTAGTTAAAGGTGTTGGATTCCCACATGGTCGACCTTGGTTTGAGTCCTGGACCTGGTGACTTGCTTTCTCACTTTCTCTCTCTCTCTCTGTCCC